GTTCGTCTGTATGTCATGTTGAATTTTTATATTATATACCTTGTGATAGTCAATATATACAAAATCCCCATATCACATGTTTGTCCGTGATGCCAACATGCAAAAGAAACACGTGAATAAGCAACAGTATGTAATATTATTGAGAAGTAAGATAAATGCAATGAACTTAGAATTTGGAAAATTATCAATCATCGCCTAGATGTGACATCAACATGTTACAAGCAACTTATTATATTGACAGCCAACTTATTTATGTTAACATCGAAAATATCAGAACATGCAACATATCAATGTCAACATGCAAGTTATTCATGTTCACTTGCAGTTCAACCAAAATAATAAATTCATTGATGTGTCAGAAATAAGCAAACAACAACATAAGTCCTAAACAAATATCCTAGAGGACCACCAACAGCATAAAAGACTAACAATTGCATGAACATTAACTTTTGCAATGTAAAGAAAAAAAAATTTATATAAAAATCGAAGGTTTCAAGATTGATTTTTTTTAGAATCATCGGTTAAAAATTTGTTGCCCCAACAAATATAGTTGTTTTGGAAGAAGATGTTTCCATAAAACCTACCAGCGGCTGTATTAGTAGTTTTCATTTTTGAAAACATACATACATATACATATTATACTTTCTGTATGGAAAATCATCTATCCTATCCAGAAGTGAAAAGGAATTTGATAGATTACATGATCAGTAAGGACTGGTCCCTGTTGACAAAGCAGGTAACAGCATTCTCTTCGTTTGTAAGGCTCATTATATTAATTTATTTTAGAGGAATTTTGATTTCATTCTACAGGTGTAATCCAACTTATATTCATAGTTCCCTTTCTAAGGAAGAAATTCTTCAAAATCATATGTCAGTTTAGAATATATTTAATATCTCAGACAACCAAAATGAATTTGAATTACCATGTCTATATTGGATTCCGAAATTTAATAAAATCCTTACAAACAAAAATACATAGTAGGTTACGGTAAATTTTCAACCAAGCCTCTTTTTTTACTCCTCACTAAGATGTTTACAGTATAGTGAAGGAGAAACTTAAGGAGTACTGTGCAACAATGTATTTGAGAAGGGTGTAAATCAGATTTGAATGCTTAAGAATTCCAAGGAACATTCTGAAAATTTGAAATCACAAGATCTTACCTAAATCAAAAGCTTAAAATCTTACGACTGTTCAACTTTATACACAACCATTCCCCAGGATAAATTAAAGTGCAGGCTTTTTGATATCATTGACAGATGCTTTTCCAATTTTAATAACCTTGTCATTGGTCATTTGCAAAATTATTTTGTTAAAATTATTATGATTGTACACAAAAGTACTCTGGAGTTGACAGCAAAAATGTGCTTGAGTTTCTGATTGACAATATCTATTTGGTTTTTGGGGACACGGTCTTTAAACAATCTAATGGAATTTCCATGGGTACCAATTGCGCCCCGTTATAAACAGACCTATTTTTGTATTCATATGAAGCAGAATTTGTGCATAATCTTGTAAGTGAAAAGAAGAAAACACTTGCTGTAGCCTTTAACTCGACATTTAGATATGACTACGTATTGTAAATTAACAATGATATTTCCATTCTTATGTTGATATGATATATCCCGGTGAGCTTGAGATAAATGATTCCACAGAGTCTGACATATCTGTTTCATGTTTGGATATTTTACTTTAAATTGATGTTAATTGTAATCTAATGACCAACTTTATGATAAGAAAATGTTCACTCCTCCATGGCACCTGATTCCAACTCTGATGGTTTCGAGGTCCGTGTTTGCTCTGCTCCTATTTTGTACTGTTCTGTGGATTTCTAAGCTTCTGGTCGTTATCTTCATATATTTTACTTAGTAGTATGTACTATATGTGAATAATTATTTTGCATGTCATCATGAAATTAAGTTACATGTCAACATAGATAGGTTGAATGTTGACAAAAATAGGTTGCATTTAAGCATTTTGGAAGTCAAGTTTGGGCGAAATTTGATAAATTTTGAAATTTTTCTAAATTCAAAATTCTTAATTTATAACATTTATATCGCATGTCAATCTTTTGGATTTGTCAATAGAAACATCCATTTTCTAATATAGGAAAATTTAGGGGGGATACACAAATCGGATATTTTCTGTATGAAAGTCTATATTTTATGACTTGGAATAGTTATTACCAGCTGGGGAATTCGTGCATTTTATACTGATGTAAGAGATCTATAGACTTATCCTGTAATGGTGAGTAAAATAAAAAAGTCTGGATTTTTGACCCTCTGTTGTGAAATCCATCTGACAAGGATATTTGACGTTTTTAACACCTCTGTATGAAGTCACAAATGTTCCTGCTACCCAATCCCTGTTGCATTAACACGGGTTGGTTATCTGAGCAATATGCTTGTCCTCTGGTGAATTCTTAATAGTTTTATTAACAGTTTTCCTTTACCTGCTCACCAGCAGAAGCAATTAACTGTAAAATGTGATACAACTACTTTTATTAAACTGGTTAATTGTTAAAAGAATGCAATGTTTTGCGCATTAAATTATAGTTGATTTTCACTTTACAGGATTTATTAGGTGTAGTTTGATATGAAAAATGTTTTAAAGCCTAATAATTTTTAAAGCCACGATTTCTCCTTTTCTGTTTGACGATTTTATAGCGAAGGAAAGCTTATTTCCATTTTATACTCTGCTATTTAGGATATAAATTAAAAGAAATAAAAGATACGGGACGAAAAAATAGGGATTCGAAGAAACGCGTGATTAATACTTTCAACCTTAACAAGTTCCTTTAATTCGGTTTCAAAAACAATGTACTGACGGTCTCTACATTATAGTTTCTGCAAAAGTTAAAGTGCTTAGTATAATATCCACAACTTGATCGTGGTGATTGTTAGGCCATTATTACCCGCTGAGTTGTCCGAATATGACAAGGAGTACACAGCTGGCGTGCCCAGTCAGCAGGGGATGTTTACTCTTCCATGACATCCGATCCCACCTCTGACGTTTTGGACGTCCGTGTTCGCTCCGCTCTTATTTTGTAATGTTTAATGGACTTTTAAGCTCTAATACTGTTAGTTATTTCTAATTATTCCATGGATAAATTTATTTATTTTTCATTTTTGGTCCTATGTCGAAAAAGTTTAGTGTCAAGAGATAAAGTTTATCTGAATCGTTTGTAGGTATTAGAGAGAACAATTAAATTGGTAATACACTGAGGAAAAAAATCAACATCAAGCCGAAGTTAAATAAATGTTTAATAAAATCTTTCAAAGGGTGAGAAATTAATGTATTGTCGATATATTTTCCTACACACTTATAAACAATTGTATTAATACAAAGACATGCTTTCAGGTTTATTTTTTTTTAATTATTAGGTGTTGCCAACATAAACTAGAAAATTCACAGAGAGGCAAAATACCAAAAATACATGTATCACTTGTATGTTTACAGAGTATAAAAACTTAAGATATGAGGCCAACCTACTGACCTAAGTCAATGGAGTCCTTCTATTCATTACTATGTAAAGTTTTGGACACAAATTGTAACCCCACTTTACCACCGGGTCATGATTTGAAAAATATATAAATGTACACAACCCTACAATGTTTCTAAACAAAGAAGACAAATATTTGCTGTTCTTGAAAAGAAAACGTATTTCAATGTAAAACAATTATCTCTTATTGTGGCCCTATTCATACACTGTGGTTATGATTTGAATACTTTTCAGAAAGCATTCACAAAAGATTCCTTTTTTACTAATTTTCAAATTCTTGAGAAAAAGATCTCAAAACTTTTTTCGTATTTCAATGGAAATCTCTGATCCCCTATTGTGACCCTGTCCAGCCTAAAGTTATGTTCTGAAAAATCTAGAACCGCGTATATCCCCTTAGAATGCTCTCACAGAAGTCTCACCTTTTTCTGACCCAGTGGTAATTGGGAAGAAAATTTTATAATGCTTTTCAGATATACTAGTTCTTCATTGCTTAACTTCCATTCCTTGTCGTGATTCCACCCTAGCCCCATTGAAATCACACCTCCTAAAGAAGCTTCAATATAAGATTATACTTACATTTGCTCCAGTGGTTCTTGAGAAGAAGATATTTCTAAATGACTCAATCCTATTTTATTGCTTTTTATTATTCATTCCTGGAAGAGAGCATAGCCCCTCATTTAATTAAGAATTCACACGAAGTTTTCCGTGAACCTTAGAAACATGACTACTGTTGACGTACTTTTCTCCACCGGGTCATAATTCCGCGGAATCTCAATTACCGTTTAATCCGCGGGTTGAAAATTACGATGGTTTCTCAGACTGTCACTGTATGTCTTGCATTTATATTAATTTTGCTTGGACAAATTTCCGCGGAAAATGTGTGACCGCTTACATTGCGTAAATTAATACCACGCGGACAAAAGTACTTCTACAGTATTTAAAGTTACCAGTGTTCTTAGGTACTTGGTAATTTAATTGTTTTTTCTGCTTTGATTCTTGAAAATTTAAGGGAGTTTAAAAGGTGAATGAGGATTTTGAAAAACACTTGACATATTTTTTTTCCAGGAATGTTCTTTTTGTTCTCGCCATGGGGTATTATGTTGTATTCAAAAGGATGGTTAAATATATTCTGTAGGAACGATTATGTATGAAAGTCAGGTAATTTATTAATACATAGACCTTAACTTTGGGTTACAGCATTGATTGCCTTAAGTATTAAACGAAGGAAAAAAATTCCAAAACGAATTTTGTAGGATCATAAAAAAAAATAAGAATAGTTTTCAATAATTACATTTGTAAGATAATTGTTAGATAAAGTTTCTAAATGTTTTATCTACATGAATATACTTAAAAACGAATAATACTCTGTCTAATATGTCCATTCAAACAATAAAAACTAAGAGCAAAGCAAACACAGACCTCTGAAACACCAGAGGTGGGATCGGGTGCCATAAAGGAGTGAACGTCTACGAGCATCCATGAATAATTTTAGCCTTAAGGTAAGTAACCAAAGTGAACTTACCCGGTATTTATTTCCCTCGTCGTGTGCTTCACATGGTAGAATGGCCGGATCTCCCTCCGTGATCGTTATACTTCTATGGATGTATGTTGCAAGTGATTTGGAGACTGATAAAATATATATGTAAGTAAATGATTAACAAGATTTTAAAAAATCGGAAAAAAAATTTATGCATTAACGAAGTAACAAAAATTATCAAATATTATAAAGTAAACCGCAAGTTTTATTTTATCCCTATAGATTTAACAGTGTTCCCAATTCTATGAAGCAAAGATTGAAATCACTTTGAGCCAATACACACGCTATCGAATATGCTACATTATTTTAATACGTGTGTAATGTATTCTCCAGTACATATTCTAGTACGTATCTTATGAGATATTAACTGACGCAGCAATGTGCATTTAGAACCATTTTTATCAACATTGTCAGCAATGCTTGAGCCTATGGGCTACAAGGCGTGGTTCCTACTGTTCATCAGAAAATGTTTTAAAAAGATTTTTATATTTTCTTTAGAAAAAAATTGACCCCCATATTACATGTATTAGGAACGGAAGCAGACAACCAAGGTGGGTATTAACTAAATAAAAGGGAAGGGCCGCCTCTACGTGTATTAAAAGGAGAAGAATTAGTATGATGTAGTTCAATCAACAGCAACACAATTTTAATGAATATCCAACAAAATACGTTATATCGCGACTACCAATGAGTACCTCGCAGTTATCTAACTTACCAGCGCTCTTTTGCGGGGGAGTCGAAAAAAGTCTAATTTCTGGGGCAAATGACATTGTTTACAGTAGTGACAATCAAATGATTCGAACAATTTAATGCCGAAATCACGATGTTTTGCCAGATATTGAACTCCAAATAGTAGATTGTCAAATAAGGAAAGTTTAAAATATTTTATCTGCTTAAAAATTAGCTGCAGATCTGTAGCTCTCCGAAAAAAAAATATTGATAGACCGGAGAGCTACAGAGCCACCCATTGAAAAAACTGTATATTTATTGCGCACATAGAATATAAATAATATATATATATATATATATATATATATATATATATATATATATATATATATATATATATATATATACTGATTTTACACATTCCCTTATAATCTCAAAATATTACTAACCGTGTGTTGATTCCATTTAACATATATATTAACATATTTTTTGACTCTTTCCACAACAAAACATTCCTCATAACTGTTTTAATAGTCCTCCTGGCCCTGATATTGTAAAATCGAACATTTTGCTTATTTATACTGCCATTTTGGTTTCAAAGATATTTTTCGGTCCAAAATGCTTCGTTCAAATGTCAACTACGAGAGAACTTGATAGAGAGAGGAAATATCTTATATTTTTTGCAATTGAGGTAAGAATTTGGAAGAATATGAAAGAATCACTTCCCTTTATGACATGTACCCAAAAAATATGAAAATGTGAAGTGCACTTTTTTGTGCGCAATAAATATACAGTTTTTTCAATGGGTGGATCTGTAGCTCTCCGGTCTATCAATATATATTTTTTCGGAGAGCTACAGATCTGCAGCTACTTAAAAATGTGACGATTTTCAATGAAAATTTAACGAGAAGAGTCCGCTTAATGAAAAATATCGTTTAAAATGTGACAATTTAGGATTGGCTCCTCTCAAAAATATATTAGGCTGGTTCAGCGATTGTTTATAGGTATTCCACCAGGATTTTTTTTACTTATCTGTCCTTATAAATGCTACAATGATCGATCTTGCATTGTATTGAATAGCACATTGCCCCCACCCAACAGACGATTCCCACCTCCTTCGCGTAAGAGTTCCGCTAAGTTAAGTAATCGCGATATCAAGTATTCACCATCGAATCACCATAAACATAACGCTATATTATAGCCAACACTTGCGAGCACTAGAAGCTACATATACTTTGGTTAATTTTATACATTCTTTTACTCGTGTTTGTCGTGTAAAACAAACAAAAAAAGATAGAAAGAGAGTAAACATCTTATTGAAAATTCAGTATTGTAAACATCATTTATGTTTGTTTTGATGGCATTAAAGTTGGGTATGCAGAGACCGGTAAATGTTTTAAGTCATATATATATATATATATATATATATATATATATATATATATATATATATATATATATATATATATATATATAGGTATCTTTTTAAAAAAGAAACACGAAAATATTTACTAAGCTAAACTAAAATAGAAATGCATTTCTATTTTTAATCAAAGATTTACCTGTAAAACTTACCGAGCAGTTTTTTTTTCTGTTTCGTGTAAAATATATATATATATATATATATATATATATATATATATATATATATATATATATATATATATATATATATATATATATATATATATATATGAACAAAATCGTTTGATTATTTGATTACTTTAGATAGCAAGATGTTTTTTGTGTAACCCTATGCGCCTGGCGGCAACAAAAGTTATGGCGAAGGTTAATGTTTGCAGACAAACAGTCAACAAACAGACACATAGACAGGCCAAAAACAATATACGCCCCGGATCTATTGATTCGGGCGCATGAAAATAGGACTTTCAATAACAAAATTTAAATCGATTACGTGTAAAAGATTTTTTTAAAAATTCTTTGAATAACCAATTTAATTATTATCCCATTTAACATTAAAATGATGTAAGTTTCAACTAAAGAAAAGTGAAGTTATTTAAGTTCGAAATTGGGGATTTTTTTTATATTGAACGTAAATAAGATATATATACTTTATATTTACACTCAATCTCGTATTATCATTAATTTTAGCTCATCAGATACGCTATATATAGCTTTCAAGCAAATAATTTTACCTTTTCATATGTTCTACACTATGGCAATCTGACAATTTCAACAACAACAAAATATACTTGGTCTATAATGTTGAAGCTAAACAACAGTTTTTGGAAATCACCTCTCCTTGGACGAGAATTGTCAGTTCCTTTTTTGCCCCACATCCACCAACTATTGCAATGGACAGAGAGGAGACACGTACAGAGGAAAATGACAATCTGCAAAGAATAAAAATCAGTGCTGAAAGGCGATAAAACATTATAATTAACGACTTTTCTTTAGTTAAAAATTAACTTACCGTATAGAAATGCATGATATTCATATAAAGTTCACCAGACCTACGAATCCTACGATTCGGCGGAGAAGTTTTTAAATATTTTTTAAACTGGTTTAATTGGAAATGTCGCATATGCACAAGAGGCTTAAGTATGATAAGTATTTTGTATTTTTTCTTCCGGCTTCTCATTACAGCCATTGAAAATTCAATCTCTTCGTTAAGTAACACTCAAACTAGAAGCAGGAATAAACAATCAACTGTCTGGACCACCACCCCCATCCCACCGCCATGGACTTCTGTACCCCTCCCAATCCGCCCCAAAAGAATTCCTTTCGGTTTGTAAAAGTTGCCCGATGCATGGTTTTAATTATTTTCATGGCAATATTTATATTTAATTTATAATCTTTAACAACTGTGTTATAAAATGATGTTTCACACGGCGGGTGTAACCGGTGGATGGTTGCTTCTCCATGATACCATCTACCTCTATTAGACGGGCCTCATTTTAGAGGTCAGTGTTTTCTTGCTCCCGAGTTGAATTGTTGAATGGACTTTTGAGTTTGGATGCTGTTTTTTATCTTCATTCAGTATTATATGTACCAGTTTGATATAAAATGCCTCATGTCAATTATTCAAAAAACTGATAAAAGCTATTTGAATAAAGGACATATATTCATATCACCTGTTCGATTATGAAAAATATCTAGATAACGAACAGTATTCAAGATCAAAAGTCTATTATAAGAATACAAATCATAACAGACCTCTAAAACATCAGAGGCAGGATCAGATGTAATGGAATGAAACATATGGGGATAACGAACAGTATTCAAGATCAAAGGTCCATAAAACAATACAAAATAGGAGCAGAGCAAACACGGACCTCCGAAACATCAGAGGTGGGATCAGGTGCCATGGAGGAGTGAGCATCCCCTGCCGACCGGTTACACCCGGCGTGTGCTCCTTGTCATGATCGGGAAATAAAGGAAAAATCCGTTGGCAATTAAGTATATAAATAATAGACTAACAATAAGTATGAAAAGCAAAGAGTAAGCATGCCCTGCCGACCGGTGACATCCGCCGTATGATCCTTGTCCGAACAAAGGAAAACATGAGACAATTCAGTGTGTAAATAAAAGCCTAACTTTTAGTATGAAAAAGCCAGTCAGCATTTCACTTAATGATAGATTGTATTAGCTGGCAAGGTAATTGTATCGAGAAAAACGTGCAAAACTATTACTTTAAACAGGAATGTTAATATTCTGTTCATCAACAAGTTCGTTAAAAACTTACTCGCTTTAGGGATTGTTCATACGTAGAACATACTCTTGGATATCGAATCAACTGAAAGATATCAACCCCGTACATAGTTGATAAAGATATATTGCAGCTTAAGTGAGGATATTAATGATTGGAAAGTTGAAATTATCACGTTTTCATAAACCTTTGTTTTTAGATTATCATTAACGAATTATTAAAACTAGTAAAATATACAAACAGATGTGTCAAACTCCGTGATATTCTTTTATTTCACGCTCATTGAGATACATTCCGTCGACATATGAGTGGAGGTAACAAAATTCACGTATTCGAATCTTTTCAATGATTCGAATTTTTGATATCATCTATTCGAACAGGTGATATCACCTATTCAAAAGCTGAAAAGGTGATATCATCGGTCCAAATATGTGATATCACCAGCTGAATTGGTGATATCACCTATTTTATTGGATAATATCACCTGACGTCAGTAAAGTACTAATTAGTGCACCCTTCTAATTTTAATGACCCCATTTAGCCTGTGTTATTTTTATTTAACAGATGAATCATAAAAATTGTCCATTTCTTTGGCCGGAATTCAAAAAAATGTAAGAAAGAAATCTTGATCGTCGTTATCTGTGTACGAGTTATATTTCCTTGACTTAAGACTTCATAACATTGCAAAAAGTTGCACTCGTCTTTTGTCATCGATTCTTTAAATGCTGGTTTATTATGTCTGTGATTGAGATCAAAACGGATAAAATAATCGTGTCTTTGCATTTTTATTAACAAAAAAATAGAATCTTCAAGAGGAATTTTATCGTTTCATAAAAAATCAGACTCGGGGGGGGGGGGGGGGGGGGGGGGGGGTAGCCTGTCCATTTTTTGCAAAGATTCACATAAGGTAGGCATTGTAAAAGGGGGCCTCAATATTATTTTTACATTTAAAAATTACTCTTGCATGTCACGATACCAATATTTTCATTTTCTAAATGTGTTGTTTTATTTGTAATATCGCGCATACGACCCTTAAGTTATTGCTGTTTTCTGAGGGCAATACGATGACACCTGAGGAGTACAATATTCACTGAGCCCGAAGAGCGAATTAAATAACGTACTTCGAAGGTGGCTAACATCTTTTTGACCTAAAAAAAAACAGCAATAACTGTTTTTTATATGATTATGTAATAGCAAACTCCTACAAGACTGTTTTTGCTTTAATTAAAAGATTTGACGAGAAATTTCAACAAAACACATTGCTACAGGAAATATGGATCAGGAATAATTCCTGATATTGACTTGGAAGGTCAAGTGATTATTAAATTGATTGCAATAATTCCTGATATTGACATGGAAGGTCACGTGCAGGTCAATATAACGTAGTATTTTTCTAACATTGTTGGATCTCACCCAATCCGAGAGAGGGAAACTATTCAATCATGTAATAAAATAACTTACTTTCCGTTGTTAGTAATAGTTATTGATTACCTGTCTAGTTTTTTTCAATAATATGAACTAGAAATTGGCTTACGTAATAGTTAGCATAAACGCTGAAACCATATCATCGCTTATAATCATCGTAAAAAAAATATTCTTTCAGGTATGTTCATGTGCTCGATCCACTTCTCTCCTGTGATGATGATTTTATGAGTTTGTAGAAGCCACACCTTATAAATTTTTCATGTTTCATCATTTAGTTAAAAAAAAAATTTCAGAAAAAAAAAGAATATACGTCGTCCTATCGAACCCATTGTCATACCACTACGCCAAAAAAAATATTTCAAAGGTGAAGTCACAAAAAAAGAATATACTTTATTAAACAGTCAATATCTGCTCCATTTACTAGTTTGAAATATATAGATATATTTAATCGTATTCAAGTTCAATTTAAAGTCCGTTAAACAATACAAAACAAGAGCAAAAACGGACTTTCAAAACATCAGAGGTGGAATCAGGTGCTATGGAGGAGTGAGCATCACCTGCCGACCGGTCAAACCCATCGTGTGCTCCTTGTCATGATCGGGAAATTTAAAAAAAAAATATGTCGTCTATTCAGTGTGTAAATAACGGTCTAGCAATTAGTATGAAAACAACAATCAACCTTTGACTTTATGATAAATTGTATTTGCTGACAAGGTCATTGTTTCGACCACAGAACTTATGATGGTCTTAAACGAGACTGCTGATATTCTTGCGTATAGAGTCAACCGAGAGATATAAACCCCTTATGCAGGTGATGAAGGTATTTTCCTGCATGAGTAAGGGAAGTTGACGATTGAAAAGTTAAAGTCATCACATTTATCATAGAGTTTAGTCGTTAGATTACCATTAACATCTTTTTCAAGTAAAATATCCAAATATGAAACAGCTGTGTCAGACTCTGTGGTATTTTTTATTTCAATCTCAACGGGATATATCGTATCGACAAAAGAATGGAAAAAGCCATTCTTCATTGACAATACGTCGTTGATATATCTAAACGTCGAGCTGAAGGTCAAAGTGTTTTTATTCCTCTCACGTATAAGATTTTAGACAAATTCTGCTTCGTATGAATACAAAAATAGGTCTGCTAATAACGGGGTGTAATTGGTACCCATGTGAATTCCAATATCTTGTTGTAAGACATTTTCTCCGAAAAACACATAGATATTGTCAATCAGAAACTCAAGCATCTTTTTGCTGTCAAATCCAGAGTACTTGTGTGTACATTCAGAATATTTTAAAGTAAAATAATGTTGCACATGACCAAATGACAAAAAAGGTAAATACATTTAGGAGTTCCATTTTTTTTTTTTTTTTTTTTTTTGTAAAAGCAGCTGTCAATGATATCAAAAGTCTGGACTTTAATTATCGTGGGGAATGATTGTGTATAAAGTTGAAAAGTCGTAAGTTTTTAATCTGTTGATTTTGATAAACTCTTGTGATTGCAAAATGTCTAAAAGTTCCTTGGAATTTTTAAGTATCCACAGCTGATTTACATCACTCCTTAAATATTTTGTTGCACAGTACTCTTGAAGTTTCTTCTTCACTATTGTTAGTATCTTAGTGAGAAGTAAAGAAATATGATTGGTTGAACAATCACTGAAACCCGCTATGTATATGTCTCTCACACCTTCCCAAAACGTATTTTTTTGCAGCCCCGCCTTTTGATGAACCGATAGCTTAATGATGAAATGAAATCTTTCATCATTTTTTGCTTTTTTTGTCGAACAGAGAAAGAATTGAGGAAAAATGTTTATTAGTAAAAGACGCTAAATTAACAGGTTCTATTCAAAAGTATACATTTTATGGAACGATCGCAAAGCAAAATCTCGAAAATGGTCAAACAGCTAAGAAACGTGGGCTATTTTATTTGATATATATCTTTCTGTGTTGAGGAAATCTATAGGAAAGACTGCTACAGGATTAAGTATCTCGTATTGAAGACGTAATAGTCATGCCCACTTCTTGACAGTTTGGCAGGGGTAACCCCATCTTCTAAATAAGAATTGGAAGTGCTGCTGTGTATATTTGCACCTTTTCAGTAAATTGATGTAAACAATACTTTTATGTGTGTTTTAAATTTATTTTTATTTTAGAATTCTTTGCAAATATTGTATTTGATTTGTTCCCCAAGAGGAATCGATCGCTTTTAAGAGGACAAGACAATTCCATCTTTTGTTTGAGATAATTGCGACTCTTGTATAAGAAAAATGACATAGGGTCTAATATCAATGTTTAACCGGCGCCAAAGGCTGGGTCTGATCAGAATTCGATGCAGATCTTAGAATCAGCTTCCAACTAGTAAGGAAGAAAGAAAGTTTATAATCTGAAACATTGTTATCATTAATATACACATATGATTTATAATATAGATTCTCCTGTACAATTTTAATATGAAAGGAAAAACAAGGTCAGAGGTACAGTGATCAATGAGCTCACTAAATGATATCCCCACCTCCCATATGATTATAATTGCAAGTCCATGTTTGACTGTGGTACACCAGAAATAAATGCCAGATTAAAAAAATAAAATAGGAATTGCACACTGGCATTACGTAATAGAGAATTTGTAAAAGTGTCATTATATTTTATTCAGTAGTATAGGAGGAGTTGTGGATATAGAGGGTATCCATCTCTTATCCGCTACTCATCTTATACCACTGAAAGACATTTCCCACTGGGAGCCTCAGGTTCATTGCTGCAATCTGATTGGTCGATAGTTAGCGTCGCTTTATACGATTACATGTTTTGTAGAGGAGACTGAGAGATAATTTTTAAACCCTCCCACCTCTCCCATTTTTTCTGAAAAAGAATTTTGAGCTATGAGCCTTTGGACCTCACCTTCTGCCACTTACAATGATTTTTCTAGTCATGTATGTTTGCATACAAGTATTTTGGAATATTGTAATTTTGATGTATTATACCACTTACTGTGTTTGCAATTGTTATAGTTACAAAACTTCTAATATACAGGTTTGTTAGTCTAGACTTGTACATTTTGCTAATGCCTGTAAATCTGAATTGGTCTCAAACGGTGTTTGCTTGTCACATTTTGGTTTTTGTATATACTAGCTTGAAATATATCAAGCCTTAATAAACAACAATTTCCACACATACATGTGTTAAGTTATAGTATTCTAGGTTACTGTTCATTTAATTTTTGCTGGAAAGAGGAAGCATAAATTAAGACATTTATTGAGACTTTCACAGAGTCTTTGTAATATTGTGCCATTGTGATCTTTTATTTTAATTTTTGATCCCACATATATATATTTTGGGGTTTCCCATAGCAAAACACGGACACTAGCATTCTTTCTATGATATTGTAGGGTATACCCATCTCTTATCCGCAACTCTTTCTAAACCACTGAATAAAATTTTATTATACAGATTCTTTATCAGATAATGCTAATGAGCACTATCTATTTTACTTTTTGAACTGACACTTATATCGGGTCTCCCAGAGCACATTATGAGGAGTATCATTTTTATTGAGCATATAATGAATGAATGAATATAATTCATTATATATTGTGACCATATACTGTCACAAGATATGCCAGTGCAAATTATTTAAAGGGACATGGACACAATTATAGCCAAAATTATCAAAGAACGGAGGTGTACAAGGCGAAGACAATTCCCCGTTCTGAGAAAAGTAATTTCTCAATTCTAAAAGTTCCTGAGAGGTTATAGTTTTCAAGAATTATATTATTAATATAATCCTTTACACATTTAATTCCTTATTTCATTGAATTTTTTATTTATTATTTTTTTGTTTTTCACTCCGGTTTAAAGACATGTAAAAACAAACAAACAAAAAAGGCTTCATGCATGCTTCAAACTCTCTCTCTCTTTCTCTCTCTCTCTCTCTCCATAGAACAGGTTTTGCTCAAGACCGAAAGCGTTAACCACTACGCTACGAAGAATACGTTTTATAGAAGACTGTCAGTGTTTAAATAAAGGATTTTGTTGAAGTACACAAATTTTTCAGAAGTGTTCGATTTTCATATAGAATGGGTTCAGATTCCAATTTTTGGAACCATGAAACAGATTTTACACTTACGTTTCCGTCATTTAAGCGGAAATGAAAAATGGAGACTGGACCCATTCATGTTCAAAATTGCTTTTTATGGCTATAGTAAACCCATTTTCCACTAACTGTCAACTTTGAATACAATATTATCACATAATAAGTCGTTCAGAAAAATAAAATATTAGATTGTTTTGGAAGATCACATTACTGAAAACTGAATTTTAGAAAAAAAATAACATTTCCGTAAATTTTGAAAAATTGAGAAATATATTATCTAAGAGGAAGGGATTATCCACGCCAATTACGTCCTCTTTCTTTATTTTTCCATCTGTATCTGTTTACAATACTTAACTAAGGCATTTTTAACGATTAGAATTTTTTTTAATTTCTGTTTTCGAGGTACAAGACGAACAGTTTTCTTTGTAGCTTTCCGCAGACTTACCAAGAAAAGTCAAGACATCATATATTAAAAAAAATCAAATTAAAAAGAAAAACTTCATAGAAATATAATAAAAAAAAACGAATATTGATCATTTATATTGCTAAATTGTTTTTCATTCTTCTACGTCATAATGAATTTGACTTGATTTGCCCATCATACAAAAAGGGCATTGATAGGGAGGGTTCTTCAGGATGAGGACGCGCGGTTAACTTAATTTATCATCCTTAAGTTAGAAATTTGAGCATTTTATCAATTATTTGATGCACCAGAAATTGTGGTTAAAACGTAACATTGATCATAGAAAGTCCTCGCTGGTGGCCAATTTGGTTATTGCAGGAACAAATTGTTCTGCAATGGGGGTAATCAACTGATGAAGGAAGCTATCAAAGACCAGATGGCTAAGACATGGCTGGAGATTTGCTTTCTTTTTGTTGCTTTAACATTAAACACAAAGTTCTCATACAGGAACATTTACTCTTCTTATTAACAAACAAACGTTATATATGTAAATGTACAAAAAAAGTTATACACACTCGTAAATGGATTACAAAAGATAATATTAATTGACATTATGAAACAGAAAAATAAACAGAATACCCAATTAATTATAATGCTGCAAGGAATTAAATATAATTTTGACATTGTAATACATAATACATATGTAAGACGACTTCAGATATGACGTATCAGGCGCCATGTTAGATGACTCCTACGTCAACCTTAAAGGTTTTCTATCATTTCTTACAAATGCTCTTTTATTTATATTAAGAATGTATTTGAATATTAATGAATGCTTCAGTACAATACATCCTCCTCTTACACATGTAGTAGATAAAGCGATGCATACTTGGATTTTATTTATGATTACTCTACAATTTCAATCTTATATATGTAGCATTCATTTCTTCAAATATTTTATGAATGCCATGCAATGAACGCATATAAATTTTGGTATATAATTATTATGTTTTTCTTGTCATTGGGATGGGTTTTGAACAAAGAAATTCATACCAATAGCTTGCCAAAAATGCAAGCCATTCTAACTATAATATAATATAACAGTTGATATATGGAATACTACTCACATAATGGGATATCGAGCATAATGTATATACATCATAACAGTTAATTGGAATGCATTGCATTAGCAAAAGATAGTCACTTCAAACACACGCCATTATTCACTGACCAGGATTCATCAAGATCCACTTGGCTACCCAACAACAGGTGGTTCCGCTTCTTAAACTAAACGTTGTATTCGTTGATTACTTTGTCAGCAGAAAATAAATTCCATTATAGGTCACATACCTCAGTTAATCCATTTCATTTAAATATTTTTTGGCTTTTTACTTTGATTTAATTTTGTTACAAACACCATCTTTATTACGTTACTCTCCACATCGAACACACCCGTGCTAACGAAATGATAATTATCTCTGTCCAGAGAACAGCTTGTGGGATACCTTGACCATTTCTGTCATCTCGTGGCCTCAAACCTTCAACATAAAAAAGTGTAATACAGAGATTAGTGTGCCATGGCATCCAGTAAAAAGCCTGAATAATGTAACATGCATTTATAAAACTGTACTTCTGTAATAGAATAACAACACACCGGGCTCCTTCTCACATAAACCCAACAACAATGCGATCATATGGGAAAATGTTCCCTTTTTAGCTTGACCTCTTTTTTAGTAATTCTGTATATATTTTCTTTGTAAGCCTGGCTCTTAGGCGTCAGCTTTTATTAGTATACTAATTTGATTTTTTTAAATAAAATGTTTAACTGCTCAACAGTATGAATATTTAATGCATCTGTACAAAGACATACCTTTTTGTCTGCCAATTTTACTGAAGTCGAATATTTTTGTGTCACCGTTACCTTGTTCTCTGACTTGTGACACAGTTTCTGGGTGAGTTCTTTTAGCTGGGTCGGAATATGTGAGCACCTGTGTTGTTGAAGTAAGGCTACTTGATCTAGGTTTTTGGGTCGGGTCCATCAACACTACAAATCAACATTTAGTACAATTAAGTCTGTTTAAAGACGACTTAATCACGTTTTTTTATTTTCTCTTACTCTCAAAATACTGTGATTTTTTACAAACAAAATATGTTGATGAACTTATATCTTATGATTATATGACATTCATAAATAATATTTTTGATTTATCGTAGGTAGGAGATCAATTAAAGGCATACCGTCCAGATACATTGATCTTTCGCTTCTTCCATATTTATTGTGCGCTTCACATGTATATTTCCCATAATCCTCCTCACCAATATTTAAAATCCTCAATGAGAGGGTGACTCTGTCAAATTATACAATTATTACACACTATTACGAGAAAAATCCAATTCTCCAAGCATAGAGCATAAATATTTCAGTAATATTTAATACCTAATGATAAAAAAACAAATTCCAATATTAATACGCTATCAAAACAATGATAAAAACAGTTTTGCAGACGAAATATCATTTTGGTTCGCAGCAGAAATTGTCATTTTAGTTATCTTTGTCAATATCATTTAAAACTATATTCTTGTTCTAAATTGTCATATTATTAAAACACAAAAATGAATAAAACTGTGTTTTCCTAAAACTAGTGAATGAGAAATATAATCTACTAAACATATATACATATCAAACAATGGCGATGTCAGTTAAGTGTTGTACCTCATCTTGTCTTCCCTGTACATTTCTGTGCGGTAGTTCCGTCCACTCTGCTGATCAAATTCGCGATCTCCAAATTTCCAGACATTGACGCCCAGGGGCGATGCGGACACGTCACATTGTAGAATTGTCTCCCTTCCTACTCTCTGCGACTGTCTGTCGTTAATAAGGCTAACTTCCGGTGGAACTGTAACAAGAAGGCCAGAACATTTTAGTGAAAGATTAATATGTCATATACTACCCTGACATTTGTAAAAACCCTTGTTATACATTTATTACTGTAAATATCTATTTCAAATTTTATCATTGGTTTATTTAGTCTTTTTGTATGGCAAGTCAAAATTTGCAATATTTGATCTTTTCTATTTGTATTGTAGATATTTCCAATTGTATTTTAATTTTTCATTTGTCTTGTATGATTTTTCATTTGTGTTGAATAATTTTCATTTGTATTCAATTATTTTTCATGTGCATTGTACACAGGCGTGGATCCAGGAATTGAAGTTAGAGGGGGCGCCAAAAGTAGGCAAGGGGTCTGGAAGCCCCCGGAAGCTCCTGGATTCTAGAGATTTTGTAGGGTAAAAATGAGGTCTACCGAGTAGACATATTTACATTTTCTAGACAAAACTGTGATTTACGTTAACTTTGACAATTTTAGGGGGCGCCCCCCCCCCTCTTAAATCCGCCACTGATATATTTTGCATTTCTATAATGATTTTTATGATTTTTATTTGTATTCTATAATTTTCCATTTATATTGTGTAATTTTTTTTTATTTGTATCTTACTTGTATTATTTTTATTTGTATTCTATAACTTAAATTTGTATTCTGTAATTTTTCCGTTTGTATTAACATATAGTTCTTTTCACTTATAACTTAAATTTTGTTTTATTCTTTATTTGTATTGAATTATTTATTAATTTTATAACATAATTTTTTATTTCAATTGTATCCAAGGATTGTTCATTGTTTTCATTACGAAGGGTATCATTGGTCAATATTAGCCTGTATCGTGTTGAAAATGACCGATTTGTTCCGGGTTCTTTTGAATTTAGCTAACTAAGCTTCTACATGTATCTATCTGCGTACATGTTATATCGAGGAAAGCTATTTATGTTAAAAGGGGGCGCTGTCAGATGACAAATAAATAATCTTAGAAATGTTTGAGAAAATAAATAATTTGATCTTGACTGGTTGCACCTCAGCCACCAACCCCATAAGAAATGGAGTATTTTTGGTTTGAGTAGAATTTTTTCTTCATCTTATCTTATTATACCCCCCGAATTAACTTAGCATCCAAGCAAATACAATTAGAGGAGTCCAGCTCGCTAGAACACTTTACTACAAAAGAGACAAAAACTTGACCCAATAAATCCTTCGTAACAAAAAGAAGAAGAATTCCTGAGATAAAATAAAAATGAAAATTTATCGAAATAAGAAATTATAGAATATGAAAAAAAATATACAATGCAAATGGAAAATATAGAATACAAAAATAATAGAATTATATACAATACAAAATATACAATGCAAAAGAATTTTTTACCTTACAAATGGAAAATATAGAGTGCAAATACATTTTAAATACAATCCAGATAGGAAATTATAGAATGCAAATGGAAAATTGCACAATCCTAATAGAAAATTATACAAAAAAAATGGTAAAATATAGAATATAAATAAGAATTATATAATAAAAATGAAAATCATAGAATACAAATAAAAATTATATGATGCAAATGGAAAATTATACAAATGGAAAAGATCGAAATTGCGACGTTTTGTATGCCATATTGTTGAAAATCCACATATTGAATACCAAATATATAACCTTCTCTCCTGTATATATTCAAGATTGTAACAGTCAAATTAAAATTCAATAAAAAGAGAAAAGACAAATACCGTATTGCAGATTTTTTTAAAGTCTAAAAATATCATTCTTTATGATTTATTTTTTGTCATTATTGAGTCAACTTTGTTAATGTAGAGGTAGTCATTACAATGTACGTCCACTTTGATGGTGTGTTGTACTGCCGCCTTCACCCCGTTGTCGGCCATACACTCGTACTCCCCGCCACAATGGCGTGAAATATTCTTAATGATCAACGTGTCTCCCACATCTCCCACTCCTGTTGTAAGAAATTAACATGTATTAGCTTCCTTTTCCTTACATGTTACAAAATGTTTTGTCAGCGAGAAGCCCAAAAGCACAACCAAAGCGTACAGTTGTCTCTTCATGAATGAAAAAATATTTGGAACAATAAACATTGTGTGCTTTCAAAAAAAATTTTAAATCGTTAATGGAACAATAAACTTATTGTGTGATAACCATGATCATTGTGTTATAAATCCTCTCTCATTAATGTTTACTAGTAACCTGAGAAACCTCATCAAATACATACAATGGAGATTGTTACTAGATATTAAGTCATAGAAAAACATTTTACTTCTAACCAATTTATAAATAATAAATCACATAATGCCATTTGAAAGACAATCTTCAATCAATTTAGAGATTTGGTTCTGTAAATCAATTCTTACATACAATCAATGACTGCTGGACCATCTACACAATAATTCGTGATTTATTTCAAATCATCTTTGCACTGCTGTATTATTTTTTGTAAAAGAGGCTTATATCTATAAATGAACAAAATCACTACTTGGTACTCATATTTTAATTCAACAGTGAATTGTTAGTCTGTACTGAAAAATGACAGTTTCTTGTGTTAAAACAACAAATTATTTTATAGGCTAATCTTTTGCAGTATTTTAATAGTAAGGAAACACAGAATTTCAAAAAAATACATGAGAAAAGTTGACTGAAAAAGATAAAGCGGTTGGTTATGCTGACGAGTTGTTGTTAGATATATTTTTAAACGTAAAATGTTATCCAGATTTTAGCCAACTCAAACCAGGCTCCATAGTTTTCAAGAAAAATTACGTTTACACAAAATGGGCATTTTTACAAATTAATGGCTCCATTGTGTTTCTTCAGAATTTTTTAACATAAGAATTTCTTACCTAGTTCCATGTAAATCTACTGCACCCTCGCAATGCTAAGGGTCCTGAGTCAACACGTTACAGTTAGACCCCTTGAATTTTTCATTCAGAATTCATGGACTGAGTGAAGATTTTCGGAAAAATTACAAACCTTGATTGTTTTTTCTTTTCCTTAAACCAATCATACATGTATTAAGCAATTCTCTGATAAACAACTTGTAACACGTCCATTTGAATCCTTCTTGTTTACATTATCTAACTGTTTATAAAAAACTTTCGTTTTATTGGTGCTTCTCAATGACAGAAGCAAGACCACAAATATCTAATGAAATATGACATAGGTCCAAAATAAGCTGTTGCCTCAGGACCCCTGGCATTTCTATGGTGAAAATACTGTTACCAGATCTACCTACTGGACCATGAGTTAAATAGCTGTATATCTACACTGCCTCAAGAAACTTTCACAGAATTCAACTTTTCTGGTCAAGGTTCTTAAGAAGAGTTTTCTGATTGACCCCTCCTTACTCCGACATCCATGATTTGAAAACAATAGAATCTACCTTTTATCTTGAGACTTTAAACAGGTATTATCTTTTCACATTCAGTTCTTTTAGGGTAAAGATTTTTAAAATTTTATTTTTTCATTAATTTTTTATTTTGAACTTCTATCCTTCATTATGGCCCGACCTTTCCCCGGGTCAATGTTTCTCTCTGGAAGCTTTCACAAAAAGCTTTATCATCTTCTGTAGTCAAGAAATTCTTCAAATTTCAAAACATTTTATATACATTTATTCTTAAGTAAAAAATGTATTTCTTATTGAGAGGCCTGACGCCACCTTACTCCAGAGTACCATGTATTTAGTATAAAATCTACACTTTCTTCGGAAGCTTAAACATAAGTTGCATCTAATCTGACCCGGTAGTTCTTACAGGGTCAGTCTCTTATTGCCTTCCTTTTAATTGTTTCCCCGTAGATGGAGGCTAAACCCTTCATTTATATAATTAATTAGAATTCAAAGATATGTTGTGCCAACTTTGGTTAAAATTGACAAAGCTGTTCCTTTGAAAAAAGTCAAA